ATGCTCAAAGTCTTGCATAAAGATTTCAGCAAGTATGGGTGCTAATGGAGCACCCATGCTTACCCCATCGACTTGATCAAAGATTTTCCCGTCAAATAGGAAATGTGAATTTTTTGTTGCAAAGATATGTAATTTTTTAAAATCATTTTTCTTAATAGTGGGTTGTGCATGTCTGTCAGAGTCGTATAGTTTTTCCAATATGATTTCTATCGTCTCATTCAGCGGAATATTGGTGTATAGGGAAGTAATATCGAATGAGACCATTTGGGCATTAGTTGGATGACCTTTTTGTTTCTTTAATTCTTCCACCAAGCGAGACCCTCTGGATCTAATCCTGGTAGACTGTATCCATAAAAATAAAATTAATATGCCAATGAGACCAGTGTTATCGGCCATTGGAAGCAGTCAGATCTATGGAAAAAGAATTGTAATGGCAGTAAACAAACTCTATCCTAAAAAAACCGTCAGAATTGTCTATGATGTTAATACCAAAATTGGAACAGGTTTCAGTCCAAAAGATCCTATACCTATTCTATTAAAATCAGGACTCATCTATGAAGCTAAATGTTCCGAATGTGGAAAAACTTACATTGGGAAAACGTGTCGTCATTTAAAAACACGGGTTGATGAACATCTGAAAGCTCAAGAGAAAATTATCTTATCTCAGACAAAACTCGTACCAGAAAATATCTCGAAACAAGTAACAGTATCGAAAAGATTAGTTACGACCATCTCTAGACAAGGACCCGTAACACGACCACAAACTAGCAAAATTCAGAGAACTGTTGTAAAAATGGATCAAGAAGATCTAGAAGATTCTTTTAGTACGGTGGCAAATGTCAATGCAACTAACACCGCTACAGAACCGCAGGCAAAATCAACTATTGCTAAACACTATAAAAATACAGGACATGTAATGAAGAATTCCGATTTTCGAATTATACTCTCAGAACAACATAAATATCGATTACTAGTTAAAGAATCACTCTTAATTAGATCGGAAGCGCCAGTTCTAAATGGAACAGATCGATCAGTTCCTCTTTATGTTTTTCCAGACGGCGTAGAGAAAAAGAAAACAATTGGAGATGGAAGATTCATACCACCAGAAAAAGTCAGTTATAAAAGAATAAAATAAAAAAAAATACATACACATCACTGCATAGATAATAGGCCATTGGTTTTTTTTATACATGCGCATATATAAAGTTAATATCGGTCTAGTCTTGAATTTTCTCTTTTTCGTTCTGTTGTATTTCGTAGTAAGAATAGAGAAAGATGGTAGTTGTTTTCATCATTTGTACAGTTATCCTGTTTATGTTTTTGAAAATGACCGGTTAAAGGTCGAAATATCAACAAATAAAGGTATGAAGTTCAAAACAGCTGCAAATATTATCATATTTATGAAATAAAGTGAAAATGAAACATGAAAATTTGGCTTATTTTTTAAAAAAGCGTATTTTAAGATTTTTTCAGAATAGTATAATTGATTGCGTACTATAGCAGGACTCGTATATATATATATATATATACATATACATTCTATATATATATATATATATATATATAGAATGTTATTTCTCTTTATCAACAAAAGACGAAAAGGCAGCAGATTTTATATTTTTATTGACATGTTCGTTTATTCTCTGTTCAAAAGAAATAGTGCTGGCTGTGATTTTATACTATATTCTGCCACACTTCGTGAATTAAAACTGAAATAATTGGAGACGACTCTTCTCCACTTTTAATACTAATCTGAAGCACACAAGTTGTACTATATACTAATCTGTGTTTTAGAAAAAGGTCCCTTTCAGTTTCAAAGATATAGAATTTTCAATATCACAGATTAAGGATAGTAAAATGTATAAATTTCGCTTTAGTTTTAAAAACTTCACGAACTTAATATAATCATCAAAATCGTAGTATAAGAAATCATACGATCCTACCTTACGAATCATAATAATCATGTATAGGAGATTTAAAAGGTTTAGAAAAACCGTCGCTGGATTGGAAAAGCTGTAAAAATATTTCAGGCCATTGGATAAATCACGTTAAAACAGGAAAAAAGAATTTAAAAAAGTACAAATAATAGAAATTTCTTAATAAGAAATATTAACGAACAGAGCATTACAAAATAGAATGTGAATTGAGATGAAACGATGCGTTTACGTCGTAAACAAATTTTATGGAGAGCCAAAAATAGAGTAAGAGAAGCAGTCCTTTCAAGAATAACTTTAAAAAAATGTGTCTTAAGACGCATTCTTTGAAGAGAATTCTCCAGCGTGTGATTTTCTCTTTCATACGCTACTATATATCCGGTTCTGACTCATCCAACTTTCGAAAGTATGATTACGCGAAGCTTCGAGCGCAAATCCTGTCATCAAACCAACTAAATTTCTATGAACTTAGCACTCGAGCAGTTTAGTGTCAGCAATATACTTCTAATACTAAACAAGTCATTTGAATTCAAAATTGAGCTTTTTATAATAAAAAGTATAAATTGCAGCACAGGCAAAAAAAGTTGATCAAAAAAGTACGATTTCGACTCATATCATATGAAATCATACGACACGATCACGTGCAATTTTTACCATTTTTACCAAACGATTTTGTACGAATTACACTATACGATTTCATACGAAATACCTGACCGACATATAGTCAGACCCGCACTAAAATCATAGTATAAGAAATCATACGATCCTACCGTACGAATTATATCACTTCTTACTGCTCGTACGATCTTGCACAATCGTGTACGCTCCTAGTACGATCCTTCGACCTGGGTAGGTTAACAGATTTATAGAAAAATGGTTTTTCTTCAGTTCTGAACGTCCTTTTGGTGTCATGTTTCAAGCTGAGAAGGGAGAGAACAAAAATATTCAAAAATAAAATACATACGCACATGATTTAGTTGTGGGTGTTTATGTTCTCTTCGCCTCTTCTACATCTGAAATATGACACCAAGAGAACGTTAACAACAGGAAAAAAGCATTTTTTAACAAATTTTGTACAAGCATACTTTTCCTGTTACAAAAAATTTAAGGTGATATAACGGATGAAATAATATATTGCGTTGTAATGGCATTGAAAAAAATTGTGTTATGGCGAGATAAAGATCAGAATGTTTTATGATGCACTAAAAATATATTCTGCTGTAACGCCCTTCGCTACTTTCTTTCGATAGTTTAATTTCTTTTCAACTAGATTTTACCGTGTTTGTATATCGAGATTGTGAGCAGTAGAAAGAAGAAAGACTTCCTACCAGCGGAGATCCAATCCACGAACGTTAAATGACAAAATGTAGAGAGAAGAAAAAACAGATGAATGGTCATCAGATGGACATTTTTCCCAAAGAGAAAAATAAGTAAATAGACGTTTCCCACTCAGAAAACATTTTACAATCGAAAGCAGATAAATCCTCATTAACTGTACACAGAAACTCATATCTTTTGCTCAATGTTCTATGCGGTTACACGAGAAAAAAGGGGCTGCAAAAGGCGGCAGGGTCATTATAGAGGAAAGTCTTTACCCTCAGCTGAAGTGTTCACTTGTGTTAGTCGCAATTCCGTTACGCTTCTAAAAGTCTCTTCATCAACATTTCTATTCTTGAGTTTATTTTTCGAGGCCAGAAATGGAATAATCACCTCAAACATTGCCAGAATCAAATTATAAAGTAATTTATCATATTTTTTGACGACTTCCACTTGCGTCCCATGGAGATTCGCCTGACGTTCCACTAGGATGTGGTGTCGCACTTGATTCGTTTCCAGTATTTGATGATCTTGCTTCAGTTTTACAATTTCATAGATTACTTTTTCATCATGTTGATTTTTTTCAATCATGAATTGCTCGAATCTCTCCATTTTTGATGCAATTTTTTCTAACATTTCGTTCACTTTTGCCAAGTTCACAATTAGAGCATGTGTTTTGTTAATCATTGAACTGTTGTTTCTTGGCATTGTTTGCATGAGAGGAGATGGAAAATTAGCAGTGACGTATTGGTAGTTATTGTTGGTACTGTTGTTTGTTGTGGGCGATGCAAGACGATTGTTGTTGTTATTGTTGCTATTCTACAACTTTCTCGTCAATTCAACACGAAACAATTTGACCACAGGGCATTTCAGTGCATTTAAATAGTGGTCTCCTCCGCAGTGAATATATTTTGCAACAGCTGAACAGTCGTGGAGTTTCAAATCCGTACAAAATAGCCCACACTTCCTGCATGTTTCGTCCATTTGCGTACATTGTTTCTTAAAGTACCCGATGCCCATATAATTGAAGCATGCTAGTGCTAAATATTCATCCAGATCATGCGTGATATGATTAACTGATAACTTTTTGCCAACTAATACTTCCTCTCTTGGTGATGATAAAGCCAATTCGATTTTGAACAATCTGATGTCGTTTCCAAATTTTTTTTCATACCTACGACGTTTTCTATTTTCTGATACATGTCCTTCAGGTCACCTGTGACTTCATCCATGTCGATTCGTAAATAGACACTCTTTATTATAAGAGATAGTTGAAGAGGAATGGACGGTGTTGAAGGGAAGACACAGTTTTGTCCACTGGTTTGAGCTGGCCAATAAATTTGATCCAGTAGCAATGCAAATGATATTGCATTCATTAGCGTTAGATTTTTGATTCGATAGACGACAATTGGCAATCTGAACTTCACCTTGATGTTGATTTTTAAAGTATGAGACAATTACTTTATTAACTTGTTTTATTGATACCTTTTCAGTGTTGAAGCGGAGAACGAACGGGGGGAATGAGAAACGTATTTGGGCATAACGTGCCGTGCCGATGCTGAAGATATATTTTGATGGTGTGGATTTTGTTTCGATTGAATCGACGAGTTTGCTGTTGTGGTGGTAATGTTAGTTTTGACGTGCTGCTGTGAGAAAACTGACAATTAGCATTATTCATCTGTTGTTTTTTTCTTTTGTTAATAACGTCTTGGAATTCTTCTTCGTAAGAGTCGTTTGAACCAGAACGATGTGTTGAGCGAGCAGGTAAATTGATCAGTTGCATATTCGTGGTGGAGGAAGGAGGAATGTTTGATTTTGAATGATAAATCACGCTAGACTGTGAGTCATGATACATATGTGAGTGTGAATCATCCTGTTGATTATCGTGAGTCATATTTTAATCAATTCCCAATATGTTATTCATAAAATGACGATTTTGTAGATCTTTAAGTTGATACAGTTACTTAATTTGAATAATTAACCATCGTTTTGACTAATGTAATACAAACTTGTGTTATTCCGTGAAAACATGCACTCAGTGTGTGATATTTACGTATATATTTATCGGAATGGCTATTGACACCCCCGGGGTGGCAGCAAGGAGCTATTGATAGTCCAAAATGCACTTTCACACTGCATAAATGTGTTATTCAAAGTGTTATGTTGAATTAGTTCTGAAATTGACGGCTTATGAGAGTGAGCCACTGGAATACTTTCATGTTATCTGGAGATGATGGTCTTTATTAAATAACACATTTTTGCAGTGTGTAAGTGTATTCTGGACTGTCAATAGCTTCTTGCTGCCAGCTACATGGAGTGTCAGTAGCCCCTTGATGCCAGTCTTGGAACTGTCAATAGCTTCCTGTTGCCACCCCGGGGGTGTGAATGGACCTACCCTATATTTAGTTACTTATGTATAGTATTATGTATGTATGTAGAGAAGAGGAAAGACAAGAAAACACGTTTGACCACTCTATGATGAAGTATGAAAAAAAGCTATATCATCTTGTTAATAAGGTCTTTCGTTCTTAAGATATTGAAAATATTTAAATATCATCTGTTTATTGTTGATCTTTACAATCAAACACAAAACAATTATAAAAATGAAGAAAAAAGAGAATTTCGATCATGAAAAAAACATTTGTTGTCTTTCGTACTCAACTGATGAATTAAATCAAATTAAAGAAATTATTAGTGGTTTATTTTCCACTAATATAACAACGACAGTGAAATGGCTGCGCAGTTTAAGGGCATCCCTCCCCTCTTTTTGAACTTTCCGTAGAAATGCTGTGAAATAAAAACGAAAACTCGCTAGGGATTCATATTTTCAGAACTTACTGGAAACTCAATGGAGCACGTTTTCGCTTTCGTTTCAAGTTTTCAG